CATTTAGGCACATTCCTATGTAATAAGTTTTACGAAACGCGCTCAAGTGTCGCGTCAGACTAGAAATAAAAATGAATTTTGGAGAATTGATTTTTGAAAAACCACCAACAGTGAAAAGAAATGTACGAAAGATTGAGAAAATTCGTGTTAGAATTATTAATCTTACTTTTTCGGTCATATTTAATATATATATATATATATATATATATATATATATATATATATATATATATATATATATATATATATATATATATATATATATATATATATATATGTCGTACCTAGTAGCCAGAACGCACTTCTCAGCCTACTATGCAAGGCCCGATTTGCCTAATAAGCCAAGTTTTCATGAATTAATTGTTTTTCGACTACCTAACCTACCTAACCTAACCTAACCTATAAAGATTGGTTAGGTTAGGTTAGGTAGGGTTGGTTAGGTTCGGTCATATATCTACGTTATTTTAACTTCAATAAAAAAAATTGACCTCATACATAATGAAATGGGTAGCTTTATCATTTCATAAGAAAAAAATTAGAGAAAATATATTAATTCAGGAAAACTTGGCTTATTAGGCAAATCAGGCCTTGCATAGTAGGCCGAGAACGACGTTCTGGCTACTAGGTACAACATATATATATATATATATATATATATATATATATATATATATATATATATATATATATATGGAAGCGGCAACGTGTGTGCAATAGACTTGGCAAGTCTATTGCCAACTTGGCAATAGACTTTATTTTTGTTGTTGTTGTTACCCGATGAGGTTTAATACAGAAATGTTTAAATATCAGTCAAGAAAATATTAAATTTCAAATATTTAAGTCTCCCCAAAAGTGTGTGTGTTTTCACTGGCACAGTTTTCATGAAAGATAATGTCACTGACTGCCAGGCTGAACTGTTTAAGCAAATCAAATCAAATTTGACATTTAACTCATAAATGTTTGTACGTTTATAAATGAGTTAATTCACAGATAACTACTGGACCATATTTTCATAAAGGGAAAGCATAATAGCATAGTTGTAACACGGCTGTGACAGCGTGTAGAATTCCGCCTTTAAATAGACAAGTGAATTATTATTGCATCTGGCGAATGAAGCAAGTGTCTGATAGTTGAAAGCTGTTGTACACAACATGTATTAGTTCACATTTAGGATGTAACGACAATAATTTCGTATACATATGCGAGTTGTACAAATCATGGTTCATAAAATTCGCTGCGAATATAACCCGTATTAAGCTCGTCCGGAAATGAAAATATTCGTCCTCTCTAACTATTGCGTAAATGACAACGAGTCTCCATTTAATTTTAAAATTTGAAAGTGTAAAAAAAAATAGAGCATTATTTATATATTCCCGGACAGTATTACATCAGAAAAAAAAATTCTCATGGTACCTGAACCAGTTCTCCAGATTTGCCGCTCCGTAACAAATGCGACTGTTTTGCATAACTCGTTAAAAATGCGACCTATTAGGCCTTTGGCTAACGTAGGGGGGTTGCAATCCGCTCTCGCACAATACATATACATATATGACTTATTGTTTATAAACACTATTTGGCCTATTAATAAGTACATATGTTGTATATTCCAAGTTATAGTTTGTTTTCATGGTAAAAATGCTTCCTTCCGATTTGCTATACACCAGTTTTAATATTAGGAATTTCTTTTTTAGTTTTGTTAAACAATAGAGATTTTATACATAATTTGACAATATCCTGTGTTTACAATTTATTTAAATATTTTAGTTTTGTTTTATTATTTTTTTAAAACTGTAATATCGATATAGTTATAGGTTAAGTAATAATTGTAATTAAGAAGCAATAAGATGCTTATCTTAACATACTAAGAAGGTTAGGTTAGGTCGGTGTTTTCTATTCAGCTTTTCACGGTAAACTCAAATATTCACAATAAATTAGTATGTCATATATGCACTTATTGATAAGCCAAATATTGACTATAAGCAAGTGGGTTGCGTAGGAAGTCTGATGGTGAAGCGGGTGAGAGACCAACCTAAGGACGAAATTGATAATTCAAAAAACTCTATGGACAAACAAGGCTGGTGAGCGGGGGTACCGAGAGCTAGAGCTGACCCCCACGTAGGCACTGACAGGTAAGCACGCGGTGAGTCAGGTTAGGCACACTTGGGTCACAACATTAAATGTATGGGTAACTGCAGCACACAGCCTCGCCCTTTATGTTGTGGGATCTCGGTAAACCTGAGCTCCTGATCACGGCGTGATATACCAGTATATATCAGTATACTAGTATATATATTAGTATACCAGTATATATCAGTATACCAGTATATATCAGTATACCAGTATGTATCAGTATACCAGTACATATTAGAATATCAGTATACCAGTACATATTAGTATACCAGTATATTTTGGTAGCAGTCTTTCTTATAAACATATGTTGTTGAATGTTGATGTTTACAGTCCCCGTGGTGCAGTGGTAAGACTGGCGTTCCGCGAGTCCTTTGTCATGGGTTCGTATCCTGGCCGGAGAGGATTGACTGGGCGCAAATCCTTAACTGTAGCCTCTGTTTAACTCAACAGTAAAATGGGTACTTGGTTGTAAAAACGATTCTTCGCGGGGATCGTATTCCAGGGAACATAGGATTAAGGACCTGCCCGAAACGCTTCGCGTACTAGTGGCTGTACAAGAATGTAAGAACTTTTATATATCAATAAAAAAAAAGAGAATATGATCGAAAAGGTAAGATTAATAATTCTAACACGAATCTTCTCAATATTTCTTAGGTTTTTCTTCAACGTCGGGGGTAATTGAAAAATTAACTCTCCAAAGTTCATTTTCAAATTTTTATTTATGGTCTGACGCCTAGATGCGTTTCGCAAGAGACTTCTCACATTTTCAAACACAAATTATTATGTACTCCGTTTCATACTTATATTTGATTATGGGTGAGTTGATATGACATAAATATTTTGGGTGAGGTGATAGAACACAAACCAACGGGCAAATCATTGGGAAAAGATAATTTTACATAGAATACGAATCAATGAGTACATTGCATATTTTCTTTTCTTGCTTCTATGTTGTTTCGGGTCTTGAAGTGGGTAGAGTGCAATTATATGTTGATAGCAGGTGTTGACTTTTTGATGTGAAGTGCCTCGCTGATGTCGAGTCTCCTGCTGTCGCTGTATCTATCGATACAGGAGGATGTGGAGTTGTTGTTCACCAACGGGCCTGTCGACGAAACGATCAGGAAGCTCGACTCCCACCCACCTAAATCCATCCCAGGAAGAAGACGTCATTTAGGAGAATATGTTGGCGCTAGCCCTAAGCGTTTGACCTTTCCTCCAACCTCAAACAAGAAGACAAATAAACGGACTTTGTAGGAAAAAGATGAAGTATGAACTATTTGGAAAGATTGAAAAAGATATTCCCAGTTCTGCTCATTGCAATTCTACAATGATGGTAATTCCAAGAACAACATATGTCAATACTGCGACGGCAGTACTTGAAGTAACAACATATGGCAACTCTGCAACTACGGTAGTCCCAGTACTTGCACATATGGCAACTCTGCAACTACGGTAGTCCCAGTACTTGCACATATGGCAACTCTGCAACTACGGTAGTCCCAGTACTTGCACATATGGCAACTCTGCGACGACAGTACTCCCAGTACTTGCCCATATGGCAACTCTGCGACGACAGTACTCCCAGTACTTGCACATATGGCAACTCTGCGACGACTGTACTCCCAGTACTTGCCCATATGGCAACTCTGCAACGACGGTACTTGCAGTACTTGCCCATATGGCAACTCTGCAACGACGGTACTTGCAGTACTTGCCCATATGGCAACTCTGCAACGACGGTACTTGCAGTACTTGCCCATATGGCAACTCTGCGACGACGGTACTCCCAGTACTTGCCCATATGGCAACTCTGCGACGACGGTACTCCCAGTACTTGCCCATATGGGAACTCTGCGACGACGGTACTCCCAGTACTTGCCCATATGGGAACTCTGCGACGACAGTACTCCCAGTACTTGCCCATATGGGAACTCTGCGACGACTGTACTCCCAGTACTTGCCCATATGGCAACTCTGCAACTACGGTAGTCCCAGTACTTGCACATATGGCAACTCTGCGACGACTGTACTCCCAGTACTTGCACATATGGCAACTCTGCAACGACGGTACTTGCAGTACTTGCCCATATGGCAACTCTGCAACCACGGTACTCCCAGTACTTGCCCATATGGCAACTCTGCAACCACGGTACTCCCAGTACTTGCCCATATGGCAACTCTGCGACGACGGTACTCCCAGTACTTGCACATATGGCAACTCTGCAACGATGGTACTCCCAGTACTCGCCCATATGGCAACGATGGTACTCCCAGTACTCGCCCATATGGCAACGATGGTACTCCCAGTACTCGCCCATATGGCAACGATGGTACTCCCAGTACTTGCCCATATGGCAACGATGGTACTCCCAGTACTCGCCCATATGGCAACGATGGTACTCCCAGTACTCGCCCATATGGCAACGATGGTACTCCCAGTACTCGCCCATATGGCAACGATGGTACTCCCAGTACTTGCCCATATGGCAACGATGGTACTCCCAGTACTTGCCCATATGGCAACGATGGTACTCCCAGTACTCGCCCATATGGCAACGATGGTACTCCCAGTACTTGCCCATATGGCAACGATGGTACTCCCAGTACTCGCCCATATGGCAACGATGGTACTCCCAGTACTTGCCCATATGGCAACGATGGTACTCCCAGTACTTGCCCATATGGCAACGATGGTACTCCCAGTACTCGCCCATATGGCAACGATGGTACTCCCAGTACTTGCCCCTATGGCAACTCTGCAACCACGGTACTCCCAGTACTTGCCCATATGGCAACTCTGCAACCACGGTACTCCCAGTACTTGCCCATATGGCAACTCTGCGACGACGGTACTCCCAGTACTTGCACATATGGCAACTCTGCAACGATGGTACTCCCAGTACTCGCCCATATGGCAACGATGGTACTCCCAGTACTCGCCCATATGGCAACGATGGTACTCCCAGTACTCGCCCATATGGCAACGATGGTACTCCCAGTACTTGCCCATATGGCAACGATGGTACTCCCAGTACTCGCCCATATGGCAACGATGGTACTCCCAGTACTCGCCCATATGGCAACGATGGTACTCCCAGTACTCGCCCATATGGCAACGATGGTACTCCCAGTACTTGCCCATATGGCAACGATGGTACTCCCAGTACTTGCCCATATGGCAACGATGGTACTCCCAGTACTCGCCCATATGGCAACGATGGTACTCCCAGTACTTGCCCATATGGCAACGATGGTACTCCCAGTACTCGCCCATATGGCAACGATGGTACTCCCAGTACTTGCCCATATGGCAACGATGGTACTCCCAGTACTTGCCCATATGGCAACGATGGTACTCCCAGTACTCGCCCATATGGCAACGATGGTACTCCCAGTACTTGCCCATATGGCAACGATGGTACTCCCAGTACTCGCCCATATGGCAACGATGGTACTCCCAGTACTTGCCCATATGGCAACGATGGTACTCCCAGTACTTGCCCATATGGCAACGATGGTACTCCCAGTACTCGCCCATATGGCAACGATGGTACTCCCAGTACTTGCCCATATGGCAACGATGGTACTCCCAGTACTCGCCCATATGGCAACTCTGCAACAATCACCGGGTGCTCCTCTTGACATAGACAGCACCAGTGCACGAAGCAATATTTACCTCTACTAAAGAGATCACATGCGTTTGAATAATTAATGTCTACGCATGTTGATGTTGTGGCAACATCGACGCGAGTTGCCACATAAACCAATAAAAGAACGCACACATTTTTGTCGCGTGTTCCCTGTTGATAGCTCACATGAAGGGCGCGGTAATTACTCACTCGTAATCTCGCGTGATTGATCGTGAGCGTGGCAGATTACTCGCTGACAGTCATAGTATTTATATAGAGGGAAAACAAATGAATGGAGAAGCAAAACAAATGAACTTGTTTTGTTTACATTTTTTTTTGACAGGAAATAATGTTCGCGTGTCCACGTTGACCTCTGTTTATACCTGTCCTCTGACCTCTGCCCCCCCTCCTGTCTCGTGGGGCCTCAACACCCCTCCCCTCTTTACCCATGGGCTTCCCCAAACCTTCCCCCCTTCAGCCTTCCCCAGCCCATCCCCCCCCAGCCCATCCTCCCCCCCCTTGATTCAAACAGAATGTCGTCAATTCCTGTCCAATAGTTCAGCTTTCCTTCACTGTCCAATTTAAGCCTCCTTCCTCCTTCTCACCCCACTTGGGGTGGACGGTAGAGCGACGGTCTCGCTTCATGCAGGTCGGCGTTCAATCCCCCGACCGTCCAAGTGGTTGGGCACCCTAGATCACAGCATAGGGGGCCCCAGGGTGTGGACCCTAGATCAGACCCCTGGTGTGTGGTCCGAAAGTGACAGTAGATAACATTAGATAACACAGTATCCACAGATAACAGGATAACGGTAATTGGGGTTATCTCTTAAATGACTGTCCCCGCGGCCCGGTCCTCGACCAGGTCTCCATTTTTTGTTACCCCCCCCCCCCCCCCCACCCCCAGGAAGCAGCCGGTAGCAGCTATCTAACTCCCAGGTACCTATTTACTGCTAGGTGAACAGGTGCATCAGGGGTGAAAGAAACTCTGCCCATTTGTTTCCGCCGCCACTGGGAATTGACCCCGGAACCCCTAAAACTACGAATACCGAACGCTGTCCACTCAGCCGCCAGGAAGGACACAGAACTTTTATTTACATACAGAGGGGGAAATCTATGCATAAGGTACGAATGGAGTCTCCATTCACATGATTTCGTTTTGAGACCTCAGTGAGTTGCATGGCATTACGAATTCCCTCAATGCTCTTTCGTGGTCTTTGGAGTTCAACAACCAGAACTGTGGAGCGTTCTAGAGGCGTTGTCTTCCAATGGTTAAGGTTCTAGAGGCGTTACTTTGCGTTGGTTAAGGTTCTAGAGGCGTTATCTTGCGTTGGTTAAGGTTCTAGAGGTGTTATCTTCCAATGGTTAAGGTTCTAGAGGCGTTACTTTGCGTTGGTTAAGGTTCTAAAGGCGTTATCTTGCGTTGGCTAACGTTCTAGAGGCGTTATCTTGCCTCTAGAACCTTAACCAACGCGTTACCTTGCGTTGGTTAAGGTTCTAGAGGCGTTACCTTGCGTTGGTTATGGTTCTAGAGGCGTTACCTTGAGGTGGTTAAGGTTCTAGAGGCGTTACCTTGCGTTGGTTAAGGTTCTAGAGGCGTTACCTTGCGTTGGTTAAGGTTCTAGAGGCGTTATCTTGCGTTGGTTAAGGTTCTAGAGGCGTTACCTTGTGTTGGTTAAGGTTCTAGAGGCGTTATCTTGCGTTGGTTAAGGTTCTAGAGGCGTTACCTTGCGTTGGTTAAGGTTCTAGAGGCGTTACCTTGCGTTGGTTAAGGTTCTAGAGGCGTTACCTTGCGTTGGTTATGGTTCTAGAGGCGTTACCTTGCGTTGGTTAAGGTTCTAGAGGCGTTATCTTGCGTTGGTTAAGGTTCTAGAGGCGTTACCTTGTGTTGGTTAAGGTTCTAGAGGCGTTACCTTGCGGTGGTTAAGGTTCTAGAGGCGTTACCTTGCGATGGTTAAGGTTCTAGAGGCGTTACCTTGCGTTGGTTAAGGTTCTAGAGGCGTTATCTTGCGTTGGTTAAGATTCTAGAGGCGTTACCTTGTGTTGGTTAAGGATCTAGAGGCGTTATCTTGCGTTGGTTAAGGTTCTAGAGGCGTTACCTTGCGTTGGTTAAGGTTCTAGAGGCGTTATCTTGCGTTGGCTAACGTTCTAGAGGCGTTATCTTGCCTCTAGAACCTTAACCAACGCGTTACCTTGCGTTGGTTAAGGTTCTAGAGGCGTTACCTTGCGTTGGTTATGGTTCTAGAGGCGTTACCTTGCGGTGGTTAAGGTTCTAGAGGCGTTACCTTGCGTTGGTTAAGGTTCTAGAGGCGTTACCTTGCGTTGGTTAAGGTTCTAGAGGCGTTATCTTGCGTTGGTTAAGGTTCTAGAGGCGTTACCTTGTGTTGGTTAAGGTTCTAGAGGCGTTATCTTGCGTTGGTTAAGGTTCTAGAGGCGTTACCTTGCGTTGGTTAAGGTTCTAGAGGCGTTACCTTGCGTTGGTTAAGGTTCTAGAGGCGTTACCTTGCGTTGGTTATGGTTCTAGAGGCGTTACCTTGCGGTGGTTAAGGTTCTAGAGGCGTTACCTTGCGATGGTTAAGGTTCTAGAGGCGTTACCTTGCGTTGGTTAAGGTTCTAGAGGCGTTATCTTGCGTTGGTTAAGGTTCTAGAGGCGTTACCTTGTGTTGGTTAAGGATCTAGAGGCGTTATCTTGCGTTGGTTAAGGTTCTAGAGGCGTTACCTTGCGTTGGTTAAGGTTCTAGAGGCGTTATCTTGCGTTGGTTAAGGTTCTAGAATATGTCAGTATATTAGTATTTAGCATATCAGTATATTAGCATGCCACATTTCAACACTGAAAATGAGCGAGAAAAGGAATGGATTTAATAATTTAAATTAATATGTACTGGTTCACATCCAGCGTAACATTACCAGTATATTAAGTGTCCAGTTACTATCCAACACAAAATGTTACAGAACTAATAGCAATGGTGAACAGGGAGAGCCGGTCGGCCGAGCGGACAGCACGCTGGACTTGTGATCCTGTGGTCCTGGGTTCGATCCCAGGCGCCGGCGTGAAACAATGGGCAGAGTTTCTTTCACCCTATGCCCCCCTGTTACCTAGCAGTAAAATAGGTACCTGGGTGTTAGTAGCTGTCACGGGCTGCTTCCTGGGGGGTGGAGGCCTGGTCGAGGACCGGGCCGCGGGGACACTAAAAAGCCCCGAAATCATCTCAAGATAACCTCAAGGATGGTGCAAGTAGCATTAATAGTAATGGTACTATTAACTGGATCCATATCCATTAAGTCGACAATGGACTTGACAATGGTCCAGGACGGACCGAAACGTCGTCGTCTCCTGATCTTTTTAGTCATCATATCATCACCCACGTTATTGTGACTCATCGTCTGCTGACCAGATGTGCTATCCTGTCCTGTACACTCGTTATCGTCCCCCTATTGAAAATATAGCACATTCTTAAGTTGTGCTTTCTAAGAAGTATGTTTATATTACTGAGAGAGGCCAGGGGGAAGTTAGTGCGGGAAAATATGAGTTAGGTCTCTGCAAACAACAGTCTGATGGACCAAGTTATCAAAAAGTCGAAGCTGTTGGGCAACGTCATTCTCCTATCCCCCACCTTCTATCCTGCCCTTCGATCCCATCCTACAATCCTGCCTTTGCAAGTGCAATATATTTAAAGAAAAAATCACGACCTAGCATAAATAATTTTTTACAGAATTTTAATAAAAATTTCATATTTTATTTTTAAAATTTTCATTTCGCATTCCCAATGTTTACATACTTATTGAAGTTGAAATTGCTAATTATCGTTTACAAAACTTTCAGATTTTCTCGAGAAACTTGGTAACTTTTCGAGGTAAGAGAACCAAAAAGTTAGTTATTGTCTTTGACCAATGAAAGTTAATGACTGTTAAGGCATCTGGGAGAGTACCCCACGCCCCTGGGAGAGTTCCCACGCATGTGGGAGAGTTCCCACGCCCGTGGGAGAGTTTCCACGCCCGTGGTAGAGTTCCCGCCCCCGTGGGAGAGTACCCACGCCCGTGGGAGAGTAACCCACGCCCGTGGGAGAGTACCCACGCCCCTGGGACAGTACCCCACGCCACTGGGAGAGTACCCCACGCCCCTGGAGAGTACCCACGCCCGTGGAACAGTAACCCACGCCCCTGGGACAGTACCCCACGTCCCTGCAGAGTACCCACCCCCGTGGGAAAGTACCCACGCCCGTGAGAAAGTACCCACACTCATGCAGAAGTACCTTCGACTCTGATAATGCCACCGCTTCGCGCAATATGATTGATTTAGGCGTGTTCAGGTTGCGTTAGAGGGGGTTAGTCGTTCCCAGGTTAAGTTAAGCTTGGGCAAGAGAGGGATGAGGCCTGCCAACTGGGCTTTGACGTGCACTGGAGAAGGTTAAGATGATTTGAAGGTGCACAGGCTTCGTTAGAGAGGATTTAGACGTCCACACGATGAGTTTGGGTTGATTTAGACGCGCACAAGGTTAGTTTGGGTTGATTTAGGCATACACATGGTAAGTTTGGGTTGATTTAGGCATGCACATGGTAAGTTTGGGTTGATTTAGACGTACAGATGATGAGTTTCAGTTGATTTTATCGTGCACAGGGACAGTTCACTGATATCCCGTTCCTCACGATTTGACACAGTAAAAAAACACAATTGTTTCTACGACCACAAACATTAGCCTCGGCCTCCCACGTGAGCAATTTAGATCAATGGCCATGAAACGTCAAACTCACCAGGCGATAATATTGACCTAAACTCCACCAATGTTTGACGGAATCAATACTACTCACCATGGTAACCATAGCAGGTACTGACCAAAATTATTGACTTAATATGTTAAGCTAAATGTACATGGATTAGTCGTCTATAATATATAGATAGTGACCATTTTCACTGTTTATATTGGCACTTAGTGTAGGAATTTTAAATTGTGTTCATTATTACTTTTAGAGAGACTCAAAGTGATAGTGAAGGAGATGTGAATGCTATGCAGTTGCTTGCA